AAACATTGCTGGACTGAATTTACATGGTCTCTTGGAGTTCCTTGGGCTAGGCCTGACAGTCCAACTGGTTCAGGCAGGGTCTTAGTTGGTACACTAGCTATAGTTTTGCAAATGTGCTCCTTGTGATGTCATCACCTGCAAATCCAGTGATATCTGGGGACGAGGAGTATTCTCAAACTTTCTCTTTTGAGGAGTGCAATATCATTCAGTCCCTACTTACAAGAACCTCTAGTGTTGAAAGATGAAGACAGATCAGCACTCTGATCATTATTAAAACAGAAGGCTACAGGAATTGATGGAGTATCTACAGAAAATATGGCAAGCAACAAAAGAAGAGTCTATACAGGTTTTAACCAGACTATTCCAGCAAATCTGGAAAAAGATACAGTGGCCAACAAATTGGTAGAGGTCAGTCTACATACCAATACCAAAGAAAGGAGATTTAACAGATTGCTCAAACTATGGCACAATATCCTTTATTTTACATGCTTACAAAATAATGCTCACGGTTATTCAACACAGATTAGAGTCCTACATGGAAAGTGAAATGCCAGATGTTCAGGGTGATTTTAGAAAAGATCAAGCAACAAGAGATGTTATTGGTGATGCATGGTGGATAATTGAGTAAGCAAAAGAATACCCAAAAGAAGTCAAGATGTGCTCCATTGACTACAAAACAGCCTTTGATTGTACTGACCATGTCAAGCTGTGGAATGTCCTTGGGAAAATGGGAGTCCCAGAACATCTCATTGTTCTCATGTGAAACCTATACAGGACAGGAAGCCACAATCTACATGGAACATGGTGAAACAGACTGGCTCCAGCTGGCAAAGCTGTAAGGCAAGGCTGTATAGTCTCTTCTTATTTATTCAACCAATACGCTGAATATATACTGAGGGAAGTTGTTTTTACAGGGTTTTTTATGCAAATTGTTTTTGTGAGTGGTGAAAGCTGCCCAGGGAATTACGTTATGGGTCTTGATACAAATAGAATAAATAGGCTCTGCAGCTGCCATGCAGAATTTAGACAGTCTACAATAAAAGCATATCTTTTCTTCCAAGTCCCTGAAGGTTTTATCTTATAGTTGCCTCTAGCTG